TGAACAAACAAATTCATAATCTACTTACTGTTATTTTATTATTTTTATAAAACATATATTCTGACTTTTGTATGTGTTTTTCCCTGTACATGAACTCACTCACATACTTTCCATTTAGTTTTTGCCTAGTGATTAAATATATAATTCATTCCAATATTCATTATGCATAAAAAGTTCTAGGTTAAATTGTGTAAGTAAAGGCAGTGGACATGAAATGACTACAACAAATTATTATTATTTAACTAGTTAGATTATAATGGTCAACTCAAGTTTAGGGTAACTTTGATATATTCATTCTAAGTAGGCTGAATATTTTGCTGCTGGGGAAATTGATAGGTGAGGTAGTACTTATACTTTCTAAAGATTATTCACCTATTAACAAAGACAAATATATTTTCATGGTATTTAAACAGTGTTTCAAATTGTTTAGGCTCACCCTGTGATCCCAGTTTTATTCTGAGCTGTGCACCCAGCAATGTGATTTGCTCCATTATTTTCCATCGTCATTTTGATTATAAAGATCAGGATTTTCTTACCCTGCTGAAAATGTTCGATGAAATTGTCAAGATTCTGAGCTCTCCATGGATGCAGGTGAGGCCAAAACCCATTCTTCCTGAGGAAACATAGGATCTTCTTTCTGGCAAGACCAAAATTCTGTAGGACAAAATACTGAAGTGATTGTTTAAATACCACTGTTCTGCCTAGAGTATTGTAGAGAAAACACCTGTAAAACACATCTGAGTCTTTTAATAGACTTACTGAAAAATGCATGCCTAAATATAGGGCTGCCAATCAGGCCTGTGACCCCTTTACCCTTGATTTTCTCATTGAATCACAAAGAAATGTTTTTATGAAGTAGTTTGGTGACTGTCCAAAGGATGACAATGTCATGCAAAGGACACCATGGTACTTTTCAAAAACGTCCACCAAGGAAGCTGTCCAACGATCAACACTTAGAGATCTCATTATTATATAAGTTGGCAGAAATATCCCTATTTAAAAAAAGAATGTTCTCTTCAATTAGGAAAACTATGTAGGGCAATGATAGCTTCCAGAAACTACTGAAATAAAGATGTTTTATGCACTTCCTAGATCCTATTTGAGAAGGTAACACTGTCAAGTATAACAAATGATTTGTTTAATGGCATATGAACCAGAAAAATCATCACAATATTACTTTGCGTTGAGTTGGAAAGTTGTTCTATACTATTCTTAAGTAATAACTGTATGATTTTGGAGAAGTCATTTAAGTGCTTTTGTGCACAGTTGACCTTTCAAGCTTCTTTGAGCCTGTCCCACTTCTAATATTCTGATTCTATGTGTAAGGCTGGTTGAAAGAAATAAAAACTGTGGTACTATAATTGTGTTTTAAATCATGTTAAACAAACTCAATTTTTGTTATCATTTATAAAATATGAATGACAGTAATTTATAGCCTTTTGTGTTTCAAGGTTGTACAGAATAATTGTGTAAAAACTAACTAATAAATATGCTTTTATATTTAAAATTAATGTGTGTCTTGGAAATGATTATCATTTTTAATCTTTTGAACCTTTCTGCCTATCTTCTTTCTAACATAGATAATTACATGCACTTATTATGAGTGTCTCCCTCAAGATGGACATCATATCTAATTCACATTTATAGCTGTACTTTTTACTAAGGTTTGCTACATGTTATATATATTTTCACTGTATATTTCTAATTGGGTAAATTATTTTTGCCCTGCAGGTCTACAATAATTTCCCAGCTCTCAATGATTATCTTCCAGGGATTCATAACACAATCATTAAAAATATGGATTATATAAAAAGTTATGTTGTAGAGAGAATAAAAGAACACAAAGAATCACTAGATGTTAACAATCCTCGGGACTTCATTGATTGCTTCCTGATAAAAATGGAAAAGGTGAATTGTTAATATATACTCAGCTATTCTATTGTTTATGCATTTTGTGGTTCAGTATCTTTTAGGAATGTTTAAATTGTCAGGCCAGTAGTGGTTGAAAAGCTCTTCAACTATTTATTGTGTGAAGGAACCTGCACAAAAAATGCTGAAGACATAAAATTAAGTTATTATATAATTGTAATACATGGACTATTTTCTTCATGTAAAAATAATCTAGCAATGTAGAAACAGAATGCACGGGGTATTTCAAGAGGAAACAATGTCCAAACAAGTTAGAAAATATCAAACTATAATGGCATAATATGAAAATGGACATCATAATTGAGTACAGTCTATGGGAGCATAGAAATGTCTGGTTCAATCGGGTTGACCCTCCTGCATTCCTAAAGAGTGAAATTGGCCTTGAATACTTGCATAGGTGAACAGAAGAGGAAATTCCAGATGGAGTGAATGGTGAAAGTAGATATGTGGTGGGAAAGAGTAAGTGGATGGAACATAGCAGCCTTTGTTGAGTATAACTCCAAATGAATTTGCTCAGTTATGGAATTACATATTGCTGTCTACCAAGTATCCTGCAAGCATCAACTGTGGTGTCTTTGTCTTGCTTTGCTATCAGAGTACACACAGGGAGTGTACTGTATTGACAAGTATTAATTTCTCATGATTTTGGAGTAACTCATTTAAGGTTGATTTTAATTATCTTGAAAATTTGTGGTAGAATTCACAGTGCAGTCACCTGGTCTTGGACCTATCTTTCTTGGAAGTTCTTGATTAAAAATTTAGAACACTTACTTGTTGCCGTTGTTCACATTTTCCTTTTCACTCTGAGTCATTTTGGTAACTTGTGTTTCTAGGAAATATTCTATTCATCTAGATTATATCACTTTGGGTGTACAATTTTTCTTGATACTTATCATCCTTTTATTTCTACATTTTCCATAGTCATGTCTTTGTTCTCATTTCTAAGTTTGGATATTGACATCATTGTGCTTTTATTTATTTTAGTCAGTCTAATTAAAGATTTGTTAATTTGATGTCAGGCTTCATTGATTATTCTTTTCATTTTCTATTCTTTTTCTTTATTTATTTTTATTCTTTTTACTGGACCTGAGTGTAGTTTTCAGGGGTTTTTTTT